AAGAGTGATTTTCTCTGTGCTGCTTTCCCTGCAGAGAGGAGCTCAGCCTGCTCCCCCTGGCTTGGGCTCTGTGCAACAATGTTTTTGATGTTGCAGAAGACCAGCGGGAAGTTCAGAGCATCCTTCACAGAGAGGAGCCGTCTGCTCCCCCAGGCAGGGGCCAGCAATGGCGCCAGGCAGCTGCGGAGCAGAGCCCCGTGCTGGAGCAGCAGATAACCCTTGACAGATGTGCAGCCAGCACAAAGCAAAAGGAGCAAGAGAAAAGGAGGGAAAACAGCTGGAAACAGCAAGAGCTTGGAAGTGGTCACGATTTATGCAGCAAATTAATGGCAACAAAAAGTTGTGATCCCTGGAAAGCTTTGCAAATCCCCCTGCTATCACTAGCTGTTGGCTCTGGAGGTGGTTTGCCAAACCAGTTTTCCAGCTGAGATGATGCTGGGTTTTTCTTTCACCCGCTCCCATGCTCAACACCTGCTTAAAGCAGCGTGCTGGTGTAAGGTCGGCCGGCACCCAGCCCTGGCCAGGCTGAGCATGGAATAAAACCTGGAGTCAGGGCTGAGGCACAGGCAATGCATTTGCTTCTCAGCACTGACCCTGATGGTCTTCTTGTAGGCGGCTTCCTTCCCTGTGAGCAGACCTTCACATATCTCATGGTTGTGGTGGTGGACTCCAGGTAGTCTCTGTTAGCTGCGATTCTTGCAGCCAAACACCATCAAATGCAAATGCTCAGGGAAGGCAGCAAAGCCACCAGGGTCTTTGCAGTACAGCTGGGGCTGGGCACCCAACACACATGGCATTCAGTGTAGCGTCATCCCTCTCAACTACAACAAACAGCAACATATGCTTCAGTCTCAGCTGAATGACATCAGCAACACAATATAAAGTGCTTTATTGCAGCATCAGAATAAAGAATTCTCTATGAAATTTTGTAAGAATAAAAGACATTTTATATATATATTATATATAAACCCCACAATAACCTTAAGGAGTGGGAGCTTAGAAATTCATCACTTAAATAGCAGTGGGCTGGACAGAATCTTTGATGGGATATAAAAATAAACACTTGCTTAATGTCTACTTTTCTCATGGTGCTCTGCAAAGCCTCTTGGTGTGTAAGGTGCTTGTGTGAGGAACAACGCTGCTTCTTGTTTCTCATGTTCCAGTTCATGCCTGTATCGTCCAAACCATAGAACCAGCAAGGCAGAACAGCCACTCGGCTTTCAACCAGCTTTTTTTTGGGTGGCTCAATGCAAGAAATTTTTCTACTTGCCCTTGGATGTGAACTCCATTTATTACAGAAATTATAGTTTCTTTTTTTGGGGTTAGACTGGTTGACATACCCAGTATAAAGAGGAGGAGGGTGCAAATCCTTGGTAACAGCCCGCATTATAAGAGCAGTTCCTCAGAGAGCAGACAGTCTAACAAACAAATTGGCTGAGATATTGAAAGTCTCCTTCAAGAAAGGCTGTTTGCAGAGGTCCTGCTTCCATGCGTGGGTCCAATACTGGACACTAGGCACATTTAACAGGAAGTTGTTTTAAAGAAGTCTCTGTACTGATGCTCCTCTGAGAGTCTGCTGATGTTAATGATGATGTACGATATGGGAGAGGAAATACGAAGATGCTCTGCCGAATGACAGAAGATAACAAGCTCATCCTTCCATGGCCTCAGCCACTCAATTTGTCTGCTTCCCGTACAAATGCCTCTATGTCTGTTGCTGAGCCTCCCTGCACATGTCCCAGGCTCCCCAAAACCAAGCCAACAGATCACTGCCACCCTCTCTTGACCACCTCTTTATCACCTACCTCTTTACCAGAAACTAGTGAGCAAGTGACCATTTGGGCTAGGGAACATGTAATGGTCATGAAAATTTACCAGAATCTGGGTCTCCATCCATGTTTATTTGGTCATGTCTTCCTTCTCACCCTTTCCATAACACTGGTCATCTCAGATTGCATGCCTGTTGGGAAATGGATGGTGTCTGCCTATGTTTTGACAGCACCCATAACCAGGGTCTGGGGATACGACTGTGGAATAATAGTTAAATAAGAATATTTCAGTGATAACTTCATTAATAGTTTTGTTTTACCAGCAATGAAGTCTTACGTAGTGATGATCAAGGATTCTATCAGTAACCAAGGCAAAAGGATCAACATACACTCAACATATATAAGACACTCCCAGAAAGACTCCCCAAAGAGCTATCGGACTACGGATATTCACTGGCCCTGCAGAAAGCTCCTGCAAGAAGGACAGACCTAGCACAGGACAGTCAACCAAGGACCTCTGCACCTGGACAGATATTTTTTTGTCCAACAGTGTCCTGCAGAAAAACACAGAGTAGCCAACATCCTTGGGTGAAACCTCTAGACTAGAAATTACTCCATTCTTCTTTAAGTGTGCTTGATTTGCTCTTTTATTTCATCTGATGCATAAAATTTGCTAAATAAAAGCTACGAACAGTTTCTGCCAGGTTCAGCGACTGAATGTCCAGGGATAGAGGTGCTCAGCCTAGTTTCTCTGCAGGAAGCTTGGGAGCTCCCAAAATACGCTGGGAGAAACTGCCACGGACCTGTGAAAAGCCGAATAAAACCCAGGCAAGACCAAAGCGCCAATGGAGAGCACCATGATCTGTGGACACCAGGTATTCACATTATTAGCACGTGTCTTCCTCCTTTGGAGCCACACTTGCTCGCCCGGCCAGGCAGCAAGCCCGAGGAGAGCGGGGTGCGCCCACGACGTGCTTTCTCTGGGCTGCCTCTCGCTGGGGACCAGGGCAGACACAGCATGGAGCAGGGCCCGAGGCCAGCAGCAGACCAGAGAGGGGCAATGCTGGGTGCTCCCAGCGGCGCCTGACTTGTTCCCAACCCCTTGGAGAACGGCTCGGTGCTTTTTGCTCCTTTCCAGCAATGGCACGGTGGCCAGCGGCCAGCAGTGGCCGAGCTGCCTCCTGCCCCCCGCAGGGCTGTGGGTGGGAAACACAGGACTTTCTGCTGGGCCATGTCACGGGCGCTCCTGAGCACTGAAACCTGCTGGGGGGCTGCCGGGGGGCTGCCGGGGAGCTGAGGCGTGGAGGCAGGCTGGTGGTGGGACCTGCGCAGGTGCTGCCACCCCGCTCCCCCAAGCACTGAGGCAGAGGGGCTGAAACGCACACTGATGGTGTCCCCCCCATGCTTACCTCCTCTGAGGTCCACCCACGTCTGGCTTTGGCACCCAGTGGTCCCTTTCGCAGCCAAAACTGCAGTGGCAAGGCAGTCCTGCCAAGGGAGCCCAGGCAGCCAGTCTCCTCCTGCCCCACACACTCCCTGGACTCGCAAAGCCCTGCTAAGCCTCTCCCTGCTCCTTCCCAACCACGCACGCAAAAACCTGAGGAGAGGGGAGGCCCTGCTCTGTATGCATGGCGGGGACAGCCCTGCCCCTCCCTAGAAGGACTCACCCCCAGTTTCAGAAGTAGACGAGCATATGCCAGGACAGGTGTACAGGCAAGAGCAGGCAGCTCTGCCTGCAGCAGGCCAGCTCCTCAGATCCAGTGTGAAGCCAGCAGGAGCCGAGGCCACTTCACCCTCCAGACGCTCAGCTTTCAGGTTGCATTGAAAGATTGTAGAGAATAAAAGCAGACGGGAGCAGCCTCCCATTCCCTTTACGCTTCCCATCCCCTGCAGCTCCCCGTGTGCCAGCCCAGGCATCCCGGGGTGCGGGACCGCCCTGGGTGGCATGGCAGGGATTGCACTGCGATAACCTCCAGCGCCCTCGGAAATCCGAGGGTGCCGAGGTGCCCCTCTGATGGGACAAGACGGACGGCGCATCCTCTCCACTCTGCCCGACGCCAGCAAGGAGCCCGTGAGCAGAGCCGGGGCTTCGCCAGGCTGGGCCGGGGTGGGAGCCGGCGGTGGCCGTGGCTCCTCTGAGCGTGGCTGTGGCTAGTACTCCTTGGCCTCCTGCAGCTGGGAGAGGTACTCCTCCTCGGCGGGGTTGTCAGCACACCGTCGCCCGTTGTTGGGGGGCCGGACGGCGTGGTAGCGGCTCCAGTCTCCCTTGCAGAGGATCCAGGGCAGCATGTCCACCTTGTAGTGCAGCTCTGGGGAGAACTCAGTGCTGATGAGGTTGGGGACACCAGCCCCCTTGCCGCGGGTGATGAGGCGGGTGTGCTCATCGTAGCAGCAGTGCTGGGCAGCCAGGGTGGTGCTGTCGAGGGAGAGCATGGAACGCAGGCAGAAGCGCGCCGTCGGCTTGTAGATGTCCAGGCGCTCCTTGGGGCCACTGGCGTCCCGCCATCGGAAGCTCTTGCCCTGCCGCTCATCCTGCAGGTTGACGGCACTGTAGACGGCCTCCAGCGGGTAGGAGCAGGGGCAGCTGGGCAGATCCGTCAGCACCTTGCTCAGGTACTTGGTGAGGAAGTCGCTTTTGCAGTTCAGCCACTTCTCACAGCTGTCCACCTCTGCGGGGAGGGCACCGAAAGGGTGAGGACACGCGCAGCCCACACCCCACTTTACCCAGCTGCCATTTGCCCGTGGCCTCGCCAGCACCACCAGCAGAGCCTGCAACTGCCAGGCAGGAGCAGCCAGGCTCCTGGGACGAGCTGGAGCCAAGCTCCATCCCCGAGGCAGTGACAGAGGGGAGGGGTTTCGTGCTGGGGCAGAGCTGTCCCTTGCAGGGGCTCTGCCTGGAGCACCCATCGCTACACGGGCCAGGCTGGCAGCATCCCCCCATGGGAGAAGACACATGGCAGGCTGACCTCAGCCACTGCACCATAAAGCAGGACCGTGTTGTACCAGGGCTGAGGGAGGAACTGGGTTTCCCAGCATGACTGCTGAAGCCTGCACGTGGCAGTGGTTTGGGTGACTTAGGTCTGGACACCAGATGCGGGAGTCCTTGGCAGAGCCCTCCCCACCAGCCAGCTACACCCCCTGTGGGGTCTGGCACTGAAGCCCTCCAGAGCAAGGCAGAAGCAGAGGCTGACCTGAGTTGAACAGCTCTGTGGTGTTGTCGCTTTTGAAAGGCGTCTCCTCTGTGGGGAAGACCATTTCCCCCTCTGCTCCTTGAGAGGGAAAAAAAAAACCAAACAAAGAACCAAGTTGAACACCAGGAGGAGTGGTGGGTTTTTTTCCTCTGTAAGGGCACCAGACACCATCCATCTTCCACCCCCTCTCCTGCCACTGCTTTGGTGACACGGCCCTGCGCCTGGAAGGAAGGGCCAGGAGCAAGACACGCAGGACAGACCCACCCAAGGTTGTGAGTTATGCAAATCCCAGTGGATGGAGCCACCTCTCAGTATGCCGCAGGAGAGGATTTCAAGCTCCCAGTGTGAGAGGTGCAAGGAGTCACACACAGAGCTGGACACCAGCTCCACCACCCTTGGGCACCATGTAACTGCCTGGGGAGCCATGAAGCCTCATCAGAGCTTCTTCGTGGAAACAAACCCCCCCGCTCACATTAAACATAACTAGTTCTTGAAGCATGAGCAATGCGCAGCCCACAGCGGCAGGGGACCAGCCCACATTGGGGTTGGACAGTGCCCAAGCACTGGTATGGCCGAGGGCTCACCAGGGCAGCGTGGCAGGTCACAGGTCCTCGACTCTGTTGCTGTGCAGGCGTAGCCACAGGACCGGGTCCTCTTCTGGTTGCCACTGCCACAGGTGATGCTGCAAGGGGACCACGGGCTCCACTCCTCCTCATCTTCATAGTCTGTGCATGGCAGGGGAGAGGCAAAGAGCAGTGGACCTCGGTGAAGGCTCAGCAGGAGGGGAGCCAGCAGCCACCAGGGACCTCCCTCAGCTCTGCCCTGTCCCTGGGATGTCCTTTACAGGGACGCAGGGCCAGCACTGCCTGGGGCACACGGAGGTGCCCAGCCACATGATGCCAAAGGCCCATCCTGTCCTCACTGGCAACCCCAGGGAAGCAGCCCCCGAGCAAAGGCTCTTGTTCTCACAGCTTTGCTCATGGTCGTACTGACCCAGACAGGCATCACTGCCCATCCCCATCCTCACTGAACCTGCCCAACGCACTGGCCATGATGCTGAAGCATCACATGCTAGCGTTCTCATCTGAGCATGCCTTCACGAGAGTCCATGCTCCAGTCTGATTACATGCAAGGGCAATTCCTGATTGGATGCCGGCATGTCTGACTGCTGGCAGTCCCAGCTGGGTGCTGGCCTTACTCCTCGGCGTGCTTGTTTATTTTTTAAGTAGGAGCTGAGCACCAGCATACTGTGATCCTCGGTGCAGGGCTGCTCCCCCTGCAGCGAGACAGGGCTGCGGGTCAGGCAGGGCAGGGGAGGGCAGTGCCAGTCTGCAGGGCAGCTGCGCACATCCAAGAGGACTCACCGTAATTATATTTTTCCTTAAAGATCCAGTTCTTCTGCCCGGACCACCGCTGGTCCCAGTCACCTCCCACTCCACTGAGCATGGACTCCTCCTCCTCATACTCTGCTGTGTAATCTTCCTCCTCCTCTTCCTCTTCCTCCTCCCTGTCCCCTACATCCAGGTTGTCATCCTCCTCCTCCTCCTCCTCTTCCTCCTCCTCCTCCTCCTCTTCCTCCTCCTCCTCAGCAGGGTCAGTGTATTCCCAAAAGAGGGGCCAGAAGAGGTCCTTGTGGGACAACCACTCAGAGGACGTCAGGGACCAGTCATTGCTTGTCTCCTTCAACAAGTCCATCTCCATCTCGGCCTGAGGATCATCCACAACTTCGATGGTCACCTGGAGGCCAGATATGAGGCAGGGCAGTGAGCCAGGGCACAGCCCTGGGACAGACCTACCAGCCCATGCACTGGTTCCCAGCCCGAGAGGCCAGAGGTGCTTTGGGCTACGGGACCATGCGATAAGCGCAAGAGGTCTTGCCTCAACTGGAGGGACTGAGCAGGGGCAGAGTGGGAGGCACAGGGGGGCTGGTGGTCACCCACAGGGTCCAACACCACACTCAGAAACTGAGGTCACCCCTGTAGGAGCATTTGCTCCTGCTCTATGGGGAGGGGCTGGGGGGGGAGGGCAGGGAAAAGGCCATGAACAAATTCCTCTGCCAAGGAGCTTGTCTGTGCCAGCTACTTGTAGCTGGTAGTTACCAAGAAGACAGATGGCAGTGGCCACATGGACCCTGCTCATGAGATCTTTCCTCTTAGGGAACAAATTGAGGTGGAGGAGCACATATGGCACTCGCCTGCATCCCCCTGTGGCCCACCCAGATCTGCTCCCCACCTGGATGTTGGGGTTCTGGGCGCTCAGGTCCACGTTGGCCAGCCCCGGCAAGCTCTGCAGGTCCAGCACGAAGGGCAGGCTTTCCTCCCGGCCAGCACTGCTGGGCTGGGGCACTCCCGGGCTCCTGGCAGCTTGCTGAGCCACCCCACGGCGCCTGTGCCGCCGCGGGCCAGCCTGCCCGCTCCGCCTCAGCCCCCGTGCCTTGCTTGATGGTGGCAGCTCCTCGTCCCCTGCCGAACGGGGGTCGGATGAGGCAGAGACCTGGAGAGGGAGGAGGTGGTGAGGACATCTCCTGAGGGTGGCTGTGCAGAGAGCAAACCGCTACCCAGCAAAGAGGGATCTGGTCTCCTGCAACAAACAGTTCCTCCACCCCATCTTATTGCACATCACGTCATCAATTAACATGTTGATTAATCAAGTTAATACCCAGTGGCCTGTGCTGTGCCAAGGCTCAGCCCCACTGCACCTGAACAACCTACATGTCTACTCAGGCTGGTGCTTCCCGTCCCTGCAACCACCCTCTCTGCACCCCTCTGCTGTCCCATTGCCCATCTTGCCTGGTTTTCTGCTTCTCGCTCTCCTTTTTTGGCTATCACTTGGTCCCTGGAGATGGGTAACGGCAAGGGCTGCTTCTGGTCACAGCATTACCAGAGCTCACGTTTAATAATTTTATATATTTATATAAAAAGTTTATAACGATGGCTTTATGACAAGGGGGAAAACCTCACATAAATAAATTGTTCTGTGGTGTCGGTATTAGGGCAGATGACTTCAAGCAACACAGGTTTAATTGACATTTTGGATGCTGCCCAAAGGCTACCACAAAGAGGGAAAGAAACTGCTGGCAGATATAACCCAGCTACCTTTATCTCCTTGGGAAAGGGAAGATGCCCAGCCAAACAGGACAACAAAACTTACCTGCCAGTGCCACCAATGGCTCTAACCGCTGCTGCCGCTGCAGTGGCACGTGGCCCTTCGCGGCCAGCCCTGCCCAGGAGGCGCAGGGGGAGCGGGCAGGGAGCCTTGCTGGGGCGGCAGCGCCGGCTGGCCGGGGGCGCGGGGAGGCGGCCAGCGAACCCTGCCAAACGGCCCGGCTTGCGCCGAGTTCCCACGTTCCTTGTCCCCGCGCTCGGCGCACGCCGGCTTGAAAGAGCACGAGTCAAAGGGCCAGCAGGCTCCAGTGCGCCCGAGAAACCGGAGATGGGAACAACTGGCAAAGCCCCCCCGCAGCACGGGCCATCCCCGGGAAAGTCTGCGGGGCCCCGCAGCTCGAGGCTGGGAGCGGAGGTGCCCGAACCCCCAGCATCTCCGCCAGCGGCTGCCTATTTCTGGCTGCCCAGCTGAAACCCCCTTTTGTTCCCAAGCTCTCGCCCTTCGCGCCAGCCCAGCCGAGAGCTGTGGGATTAACGAAGAGAACGGCGTGCCCCCTCCCCATGGGGGGGATGCAGAGAGGCATTTCTACCTGCAATTAGAGCCAGATGGCTTGGGGAAGGACTCCCCTCCCTTTCATCCTGATCAGTGGAGCACTTCAAAGGCAGCTGGAGCCTGGCCAGGCTCTCATGAGCACTCACAGCCTGTCCCCAGCCCTGTGCCCACACATCAAAGCCCGCGACCCCCCTGTCCCCGGGGGAGGGAAAAGAGCAGCAGGGACGCTGCTGGTCCCTTGGCTGCTGCCCAGAGCGGGCTGGACGCAGGGAAGGGCCAGTGACAGACTTCACCAGATGGGCCCGGAGGAGGGAGGGCTGTGGGGAGGAGGGAGCCTGTGCTGCCCGGAGGGCTCCTGTGGCACTGCTGGCAGCAAACGTGGGCACAGACAGACCCCTCTGCCTGCACCTTCCCCTCCCAGCTCCCTCTGCCCATGTCCAAAACCACAAGGGTTTTGGGAAGGACCCATGGGAAGGATGCCCGGCTCTGCCCCAGCCTGTGTCCCAGCGCCTCAGCCCCTCACTGGGTCTCCTCTTGTGCCCAGGGACTCCCTGGCAGGGAGCAAGGAGGAGCCCAGGTGGAGCAGAAACAGCAAGGGGTGCCGAGCAGGCAAACCTGGCCGTGTCCCAGTGCTGGCCGCATGACACTACCCACCGGTGCTGGGTTTGCTGCCAGCTGCGTGTGCCCAGTGCAACCCCTGCACAAGGGGCTGCCAACAGCCCTGCAAGACTGGTGCCCCTGCCTAATTTTGCAATGAGCTTATCGGGGCTGGGTAAGCTCATTTCACAGACAACTCAAATTTAATACACATGGAAAGCAAGGTCTCCTCTAGCAACAAGATCAGAGCTCACCCAAGGATATCAGAGCAAGCGAGCCAGGAACAAACTCCACATCTCCAAACTTACACTCAGTGCCTAATTCAGATTTTACGCCCAAACAAGCTCAAGAAATTCAGAGTACTGTTCCCACAGGGAAAATGTAAAACTGCTCCAGGGGAACTGGCTGTAAGAGTGTCGCAGGGCAAAGAAAGCTCCCTCGGCTCCCAAATCCTCCAGAGGCACAAAGACCTTGGGGGTGTCTGCCCTGGATGGCCCACAGTCCTTCAGCGACGGTCACTGCACGGTAACACCCAACCCTTCCCTCCTGCTACCATTTGCATTGCTCCAAGGCTTCACTGGGTTAAAATTTGTACCTGCATCAGAAGAAGTCCCTCTTGAGCAAGGTCCTGCTCAGTGCCCTGCCCCAGCCCATCAAGACATGGATTTTAGCGAGGTCCTACAAGGCCCAGTGATCCTCCAGGTCAGAACATCCATGGCACCATGATCCTGATGGGCAGATGTGTCTTCTCCGTGTTGCCAAGGGGCTCCTGCCAGCCATGCAGGCAGCTGCCCTTGAGGGTCACACTCCTGCCGCATGACACCCACCCTCTCCTCTGCCCTGGCTAGGGAACAGCTGGATAAAGCCATCAAGCCTGGAGCTAAGCCACTGCAGTGCATCAGCTAAGGGAAGAGAAGAGCTGGCCTGTCCAGAGTGAAAACTCTACTCCCCTGCTCTCCATGGAGCGCAGGAGAAAGGCTGAAAACCGTCGCAGAGCCGGTCACCAGCAGCTCCCTTCTCCTTCTGCCGCCAGGGAAGGACATTTGCCACCATGCCGCAGAAGCAGAGAGCTCAATGCTGAGAAGCCATCAATATCTTGCAACCGAGCTCCAGCCTTCTCCTGCAACCAGCCAGTACCAAGCAAAGGAAAAAGCCAACGGGGGAATTGCTGCAGCTCCTCCTGCGTACACTTGGGATATTTTGCCTGGCTGGGAATAAGGGTTTCCAGGGCAGGAACCCAACAGAAACTCTGGGGCAGCACTCGGGAAAGAGCATGCACTTTCTGTTTGTGAAGACCATGTTTAGACTGAAGGCTGTAAGCAGGATCACACGCACCTCCCTACCAGCCCAGGAGCCCTTCCCACATAGTCCAAGCTCTCCCACGTGTAGGACTGTCTACCTAAACACCTTGGGGCACAAGCTCAGCAAAGATATTAGGGAGGGGAAGGAACTTGTCAGCAATTCACCCCAGTGTCATGCCTACTTTGTACATAACACAGGCGACAGGCTGTATGGAAAAGGTGTGGAGTAAGGCCACACATCATTTCTCTAGAGACTAAAGGCTGATATTTTCCCATTTCTAGTCCATATACCTCTATTAAAATTGCTTGGAAATCTGAAGATGGCAAAGAGAGCAGCCACAAAACCATGTCAAGGGATGCAAAGACTTTTCCAGTGAAAGACTTGTACAATTCCATTTGTCTGACGTTAAAAAGAGAAAGCAATTACTTGATTTCCAGTTCTTTAAGGCAATAATCCATCGGGCACCAGAGACTCTCTAATCCAGAACAGAAACACATAATAGGAACGAACATGTCCGAGTCAAAGCCAGACAAATGGATCGTGCTTTTAACGCTGGAGGTGATTAACCACAGGAACAAGCTGACAAGGAAAGTGGCAATATCTCTTGTGGAGACCGTCAAGCCCATGTCATGGGCTTAACACATATGTACCACATCTGTGTGAGGGAAGAAAGTCAAAAATCTAATGATTTCTTCTGGTCTTAAAATCTGCGATTTTGCTATAAACTTCTCTAAGACTCTGAACTAAACTTGGGTTAAGAAAGCAAATGACCAATGTTCACGTGCTGCAGCTTTTACATAAAAATGATTAGAGATGTGACATCTCAGATCCTACAGCAGTTTAAAACCTGAAAACATCAACAGACTAGTCCCTGTGCTGTACTGCCCTTTGGCAACCAGGGACACCACTATGCTGCCACCACAACCACAGGTACTTGTCCCTTCAGCGCATTCCTCAGCATCTCTGTAGGCACTGCAAGCTGCCAGTGAACCCACCGGCAGTGCTCTTTGTAACTACATACCTTGCTGAGCAGAGCTGCTGTTCATCATGGGGTTAAACCCAAGCTAAGTACACTTGAGATAGCTCCCCAGGGAGCGAAGTTCAGTGGCACTCCTGGAGCAATCGAGTCCCCGGCATAGGAGCAGCTCAGAGGATGCAGCTTCCACCCACGCCTATCCCGAGCCAATTAGCGAGCGCATAAACTCATTCAGCTTGAACCAAAGAAACCTGTGCACATGGGAGTCAGATCAGAGGCAACGTTCAGGCTGTGCTTTGGGCTTGTTAACACTGCAGTGAAGAAAATGACGTATTTGCTAAAGGCCGGTATCGCACTGGGCTATAATTACAAGGAATGGGGGTTTTTGTTGCTTAATCATTACTGCTTGTGTTAGGTTTCCTTTGAACAGTTTTACCACGCTGTACCGAAACAAGAACCCATCAGAAGAACTATTGATCTTTACCTGAATAGAGCTGAGTCTACACAAGCATCTTCCTACTCTTTCTCCCAAGCTCTCTCCAACAGTATTTTAAAATCTATCCTGCAGTTTGTTACAAACTTGCCCACTTATGAATTAGCCAAGTACAAAACAGAAATCAGAACATTTTAAAAATTTTTTTACCATAAAGCTCTTCCTTTCATATTCACCTAAATGAGCTACAAAGATCTGGAGAAAGCTTTCCAAAAAAACTTATCTTTGGACTGAAACAGGGCAGGAACAACTCCAGAGCAGGGTTTTATTATAAAGCTATGGAAGCAGAGGGACGCTGGCTGGTTGCTTCAGAAGGAAGCCCAGCCTGTCTGGGGGCAGCTCTGGGGCTGCAGTTCGCAGAAAGGCTCAGAACAGTTTTCACTGGTGGAAGTGGGAAAAAGGGGAGGTTTTCCCAGTGCTAACAAGTAATACTGTTAAGTTTCTTTAAAATAAAGGAAGGTTGAACAGCAGGGTAATCAACAGGAACAAATGCAGCATGCCACGCTGCCTCCCTCCCATAGTGCTGGGCATGCTCTCTCCTTGATGACCCCACCACAGACACTGCTCAAAGAAAGGGCTTTTTTAGCCCAGCAGGCTGGGACCGCCTCCGCCTCCTGAGGGCTGTAGTTTCATCCTTCTGGCTCATAACCCATCCACTGGCACAGTCTTTCAGCCAGATGGAAGATCCACTGGACGCACAATCAGGCAAGTGACCTCTGCTACCCATCAGCTCATCACCCACTTCACGGATTTCCCAGAACTGTGCCAAAGCACAGTGTGCTTCGAGGGGTGTCAAGAGCTGGGTGGGTACCTAGGAGAAAATGGGGAAGGTGAAGATGCCACCCAGTCCCTGTTACTGTCTGTAATACCTTCCGAGCCACAATCCCAACAATCAGACACACCACCTTTAGACTTATAGGCAGGTGGTTTAGCAGGAGCCATCACTTAGGGTTTTGACAGGTGAGCTCTGGAAGATCTGCGAGAGCAGGACCATGATCACCCAACTGCTCTACTCACTGGTCCACCTCAGGATCAACTCGCACTTGAGTGCTGATTTTGTTTTTGTTTTTAAATAAAGACACAAGCATCTCCCTTTAGGTTTTGGGAGAGCTCTGCAAGTGCTCGTGGAACAGACAAGGCACTTGGTTATCACGCTTGCGTGGGCAGATCCTGTTTATGACAGACCAGCAGGAGCCGGCAGCAAACCGTGGGCTCTGCAGATAATTATTACGCCCTCATGATTATAATTTTCATGCAGTTATCAAAATACTTTAGATCATATGGAATGACTCTCTTTTCTAACTAGCTTCATCTCAACTGTCTTGAGTAAGGAGCTGCAGGAGGAAGCATCAAAGGCTTCCTCATGTCTCATTTATTTTCATGTCTCACATTTATTTTCATGTCTCAATTGCGACAACTGTAATCTCAAAACTCTTTCCAAGGTCAATGTGACTCGGTTGCCCCTGAGGCAGAGCCAGCCCTGGAGCAGAAGACACCACAGCACAGAGAAGCCGCAGCATGCAGCACTGCGAGGAGCAAGGACACAGCATAGTTGACTTTGTGCAAGACCGAAAATGGGGCCGTTGGCCAGGCCGCTGTCAGCGCTCCTCACCGCGCATCCCCATCGGCACAGCTCGGCCCCTCTCACCGCAGCCGGCTCTCCTCCAGGCGCACCGGTGAGTAACTTGCCCATGGCATCCTCAGCCAACTCCCCAGGTCACTTGTGACACAAGGAGGACAAGTAGGAGCCTGGTGGCTTTTCACCTCTCGCCAGGCTTGGCTGTTGCCCTCCTCAGTGTCACATGCAGGTGCTTCTCTACTGTAAATATTTTCTCCCTCTTTAACACTAAGACAAATGCTGTAAAATCCCCATTTTGCAGACAAAGAAAATGACCTGCCCCAGGTCACTCAGGTAGCCTGAGGCAAGGCCAGGAATAGATGCAGGTCTCCCACATTGTACTTGGAGAAGGCTCTCAGGAAGATCCACCAGAGCTGTTTTTTCCTCCCCACCTGCCCTCCAGGAGGGACTGCCCTGCCTCCCACACAGATGAACCACACAGGCCTTGCAGTGGAGAAGCCGGGGCATCTGGTTAGCACCACTGACATGTCCCAGCACAGCGGCTGGGGCTGTCCTCGCACTGGAGACTCTGCCCAAGTGCACAGGTCCAAGGGCCGACCCTCGACAGGTGGTGCCGGCTGCGAAGAGCCCAGCCGGTGGCAAGGCACCCCGACCTGAGGAGGAAGGTACCCCTGAGACCTCCGCTGCAGGCAGGCCGGCTGGGAGCTGCTCAGATAGAGCACAGCAGTGGGTACAGGAGCAGAGCCCCTGCAGGGACTGCACGGAGCAGTCCCCCAGGGAGGTGAACAGACACACATCCATACCCTCTGGTGCTCTCTGGCAAATGCTCCTGCTAGGGCACATGTTTTCTGTTAACATAGTTGAGCTGTAATACATATAAGCTCTTAATGCATCAGACTGAGTTGCTGTTAACTTGTTCCAGCTCTAAACCCCATGTGCTTCAGTAACCATTAACTTGTTCCAGCTAATGATCCACATTTGTTAGCCTGCACACCGTAACCCTCCGACTGCTCCAGCTGCTGCTTCCTTCCCTGCCGCAGCCCAGGCAAAACTGCAAAAGGAAAAACACCCCGAATATAGCAAAGCAAGTGCAGAAACTGGGGGGACCAGACCAATGCCAGCCTCCCCCTGCCCCCCGCAGCCTGCTAGAAGAGGTTGCAGTGTGGGGGGACACAGGGCAGGCAGGAGCGCAGGGGGCACCCGCTCCCCTTGCCCCACGCAGGGTGCACAGGCTGCCCCCGCCATGCAGGCAGCAGGGCAGGGAAGGCAGCCGACCAAACAGATGCAAATCCATTGGGGATCCCTTCAACAACAGACAAAATGAGCACCTGAGCTGGACTCGGAGCATCTCCATGCCCTGTACGGGAAGGGATCCAGGCAGGGATGCTGCATCTCAGCTTCCCAAAGGGGCAAAGCTGAGGTGACTCCCAGCCAGCAGCCCCTGCCCCAGGTGCTTGGCCGCAGCTCCCCAGCCCGAGGGTGAGCTCGGCGCCCCTCCCCAGCTCAGTGGCAGGATTTAATGACTCTCGCAAGTCAGCATGGGGTGGAGAAAGGGTCTCCAGGTAGGGAAACCTTCCTCTCCAGCCCCAGTCTGTGTCGTTCATAACTCACTTGTTCATAAGCTTTCCCAGGACAGTCCCTGCTACTTCTAAGTGCCTCATCAAAAAATAATTACTTTTTTTTTTCCCCATCAGATGGGAGCC